GCCATATCACTTAGTGCCTCTAACCATCGGTTACGATCATCCCGAGGTCCCTAGCCAAGGAGCCTAACGGGACCTAGACTCTTGGTTACGGTTTTCATACCATCATGCCGGTAGTTGTGCAACAGTTCGATCAGCGGTTAACAGTTTGACCGGGCTGGCATGGATCAATATCTTTTCCTCCCGTTATTTCATTTATGATCAGAGCAAATGTGAACCGACGGTTGTAACAAACCAGGGAGAGGGGTGATGGTGGTGTGCAACCAAGGTTTGATTGCGAAGTGACCAGCGGAATTGGTTGAAACTGCGAAACCAAGGGTCACAGCAATCACATTCGTTGTTGTACACCACATTTTATGGGGATAATTTAACTGTTTTCACCCCTCATTATCTTAGTGAATTATTACAAACTGTATTGGATTCAAACTGAGGGTGTTCCCGAAAAAATAGATCAATAACCTAATTGCAGCCAGAGATAAATTTTCGTGTTCAACAATGAAACGAAGAGAAACGTATTTTACGTGATGACGAAGGTCAGACAGCGCGGATTAGCTTTCAACTATATCAAACGGGTTGCTTGAAAATCCGCATACAGGCATGTCGGAAACTCATTCAACACTTTTTCAGTCTTTCTGGTTTACCTTTGATCTTGGACGCTCTCTACGTTTTGTAGTGAGCATATTTATCAGTGAGCGCTATAATGAGAGTTCAAATCATGCCGCAGCTCACTCGCATCGGGTGTCACGTGACTGATCGGCCTCGCCATCGACGTTACTAGAATTGACAGGTCTAACAATTATTGATCCGTATTTCACCCACTGACACTGTAACTCGCGTTGAAAAAATTACAATCAACCCATTCTAGTTCAGTGACTTGTCTTCTTTACAAATCAGGGGCGTACAGTTATAACAATCTGTGGCGAGGGTGGAAAATGGTCATTCCAGAGCTCACTGTCCCAGAAACACCAACTTTGTTCTTATGCATTAACTTTACTAAAACAGGTATTTCATTTTCAGCTGTTGATAGTGTTACTGATGGGAAGATCTTGTATAAATAAATTTCACTCCATCCGAAACCATTCTAGATGGGTACATTTTTATGGAAATATCTTCAAACAATAACCGTTATTGTAGACTGGGGTGGTCGTTCACCGGTTGACCTTGATAGGTACATTTGGGTTTCTCGGCAGGTGTACAAATTAGAAAAGATTGAAGACGAAATAAAGACAAAATAGGATAATCTGCTAAGTGAAATGGAATAATGAGAAAATAATAATTAATCCCTTTCATATTGTTAATCGTTACCAAATTGGTTGATGCACGAATTTGCCCGGTGCATTCTGTATCAAATTACTGATTGCGAATTGGAGCAAGCCGATTCCATCTACTCATTAGTAGTCAAATGACACAAGTATAAATAATTTGCAACATTGCATTTGGAAATCACTTGACGGGCAACAATAAACGCTTCAGATACAAAATTCAGGAAAGATAAATACAAGAATCTGTTTGAATGTTTTCGCCAATGGGCACATTCATGGATGGATGGATAGACAGATGGGCAGACTCAATCGCGAAATGGGAACCAGTCAACCGGTGTACGTCCGATTCGAAAAACATTTACCATTTTTTCGGCATTCCATTCTGTTGTTCTGAAATGCAGTAAAAAGATAATTTTATGAATAACCAACTCCTAACTGTACTCGTATCATGAATGGTATAATTGTTCTCTTCATATGAATAATCACCAATGGCAGCTTGGAACCACCGGGCATGTCCATATTCTAGGATTGAATTGTCATTTTCTCCTTATAATTTATACCAACGTTTGTCTCTCAGGCCCACCTAGTTCATCAATATTGGTTTTTCGGTTAAAAATTTAACGAACCCATTTCGTGGGCTCGTTTACAGAACGATGTTTCCGGGCACTAGGTGGCTAAATTACAAACTTGATCATATTGAATGCAAGCATTTCAATAAAAATCTTTTCTCGCGTGAATTGATCTCGCTATAGATCAAATATTCAACTAGGATTTTCCGTATACAATTGTCCCTCGAAAGTTATATTTTATTTTTATCTAAAGTCTCTTCATAAAACATCAAATTCATCAAATATTTCGCTTTAAAAAATTATTGATGCTTCTGAGTTCAACCTTGTTTTGAACGAAAACGGGAATGATGATTTTGTGTTTATCATTTGAAGGGATTTGTGGGGCATAGAGTCGTAAGCATTCTTACTCATCATCATAATTTCTATGGTTTATTATGGCAGTAACACCTTTGAGTAAGGTAGACTATTGTGTCTCTGGGGCCAATTTAAAATCTTTGGTGTTTGTCGATTAGGGCCTAACTGAGGTCTAATACCTCGACAAGTCAGATGTACTGAATGCAAAGATAGCTAGTTCTGAGCAGGTGAAAGAGCTCATGTCTAGGAAATCTATTCAGCTGACATGGATACATGTATGCTGGAGTTGCATCGGCATGTGCCAAATGGTGAATGAGTTTACGGGGAGCCGATCAATCGATCAGGTACTAACATACTGCTCCTTTGCAGTCCACACTTGGAAGGGCAGGCGTCAAAGAAGCGCCCTTGAGTTGAAAAAAAATCGAGTGACTCGAGGGCGTCAAATGAAGTTGGTTCTTCCTTCCCGCGGGGTGGGGTGTGATAGAAACCAAATCGATCGAAACTGCACACTACGGGATGACCTTGGGACCGCATAGGGGTACGCCAATACGTAATCGACCTCACACCTGGAACAGCTCAATCTACTGACTCGATTAAAATCTGTATCTCATATTGTTAGACTAAACAGAGTAGAAAAAAATGAACAAAAAAGAAACTTACATGAATCAATCTTCATGTGACTTAGAGACAAAAAGAAGAATCCAATAATTGAAATGCTAGCGGAATAGACCGCAACTGTTGATCCTGAGTTTGCTAATGAAATATGAATGAAGAAAAGAATCATGCATGAGCGAATGATCAATCAGTCAGTCAGTCAGCTGGAATCTTGAAGTTCATCAGTTGGAAGAGAAAATGGGAAAATATCATAACATTGGTGTTCATCGACGGGTCAATTTTGTGTCGCATTGTTATATGAATTTTGCATGCCGGAAAGTGGCTCGCAATAACATGGTTCAACAAATTACTCCGTCCATCGCAGTTTATTCGTTAGATCCGTATTTTTTAAGGATAATCGGAATTCGAATCGGCAACACATGACTCAGACCATTTTCGATTTAGGTATATTTTAAAGAAGCAATTTATTTCCCAATAACCTGGTTATAGTTCTTTTCGCATTCATGACCTGAGACTCTTAAGACGGGGAAGGTGAAAGATGGTCGTTTGCTTAAAATTCAATGCAGTTGTTGATCAAACTCGTGTAGCACCTCGACTTTCACCACATTTGTCCCTGTATTTCGAGTCTCATTCACGGGGGATTGGATATGATATTGCTCCCCACATCAGGCGCAACATATCTGTACTAATAGCTATTTAGATTTTTGCGTTTATTGATCAGATACATTAAAATGTGCGATTCCTCGATTTTGACTGCAGTTTCTGGTGCATCAGTTGTAAGATAATAATGCCTCAAGAAAAATATTATTGCACTATGGGCCCTGCTTAATGTTTGAGAATTAAGGCCAATTGTTTATGCATGGAGTCCACGAAGTTGACTGTCAAACAGACTAAGAATACATCAACGTGAATCGGGTATCGTTTGCAAAGTGGTGCACGGTTGACACCATAACAGTCCTCTTCTTTTAGACTACAGAATTCAAATATATATATATATACATAATTCATGACAGGTGTATGTCGTTTGACATCAAAAGTATAGCTGCAAATCAAGGAGTCGGGAAATCACTTACATAAGACACATGAGGTATGGGACACGAGGAAAACTTCTGAAATCAAAAGAAAAGGATATCATTCAATTGAAGCATAGTGTAAACGGAGCGGATTGGGGGATAAAGCTGGTGTTAAAAACTCATGAGGTTTATTAAAAAAAACACCTGATTGATCCGTACAAAGGAGGAGGACAAATCGAGCAGGACGTTGAAATTTCGTAATCTATCTCTTATCAACCACCTATGTAAAATAATCCGAAATTTACACACTCGTATGTTACTAACTGAAGCTAACGAAAGTTTAGAGGAAAATAAGTTTTTTTCAAACAGAAGAAACATGACCAGCGATTGTGCTCGTGAAAACCAGTGTGTCCGGAAACACAGAGCTATGTAACTCAAACTGATCTGTATTGCTTCGTTTAGAGCGAACGGTTTCGGATTACAATTCAAGAGTTACACAGTAGCATTGCAACTGCGGATGAAATGATGCACCATATATGAGGCAGGATGTACCAGACAAATATGCTCACGATGGTTCAACATAGTCTTGGCACAATGGAATACGGTTTTCAGCAAACCACTTTTGTGTGTCATGTGGAGGAAGATCGGTCGTTCAAAGATCCCATCTTGATTTTCACATCAAAAACATTCAAACAATCATCCTTCTTCTCCTCCTCCTCAAGGAAAACAGATAGATTGGAATGAATAGTATCAAAACAGGGTGTGAAGATCAGGATTGGGAAAAATCAAAATCTCATGGATAAAACGTTTGAACAAAACAATTTCTGAAATATTATTCCACCATCGTCTTTGAGCCATTCCTAGAACCATGTCTACTTACGCGTATTTTTTGTCACTTTTTAATCTCTTTAAAGATATAAACGGTTTTCAGTAACTAGGACACTCTACACTAAGCCACTGAAAAATGCTCAGATGTCTTTCAGATCTGTCTGTTTGTTATCACCTTCATCATACGTTTTCTCCACCTAGTTAATCCTGTTTAAACTCTAGTTGAGATTGCGAGAGAAATATCGTGCGACCCTTTTCAATATGAACGCGCACCACTTATGCAAACACTGAGTGCAAAACTGCATTATATAGAACCAGTAAATCACTTGGCTAGAAAGATGTTTTCTAAACGCAGCACATGATTACAAATCGTACAGTCTCTGAACAATATGGCGAGCACGCAAATCTGCAGTCTGTTTGCTCTCCTGGGGGAATAAAAAAATACCCAATGCACGGGCTTTGATGAATTGTGAAAACATATATTTTCTCCTATTCATTAAAAAATGCCCCCCCCCGGTTACCCCGGTTCCTGCCTAAGGGGTAATTCTTCTGACCGCGTCCAGGAAACGTGTATAACCTCATCATCATCATCATCATCATCATCATCATCATCATCATCATCATCATCATCATCATCATCATCATCATCATC